GTATAATTGCTTTTAATTTATAGGAGTAGGAACTAAAGTTCAGAGGGGTGACTTTGACTTTCTAAAATGACACATCCAAGATCAGAACAAATGCAAGTTCCAGTGTCCTCCCAAATGCCTTCCTGTGAACCCTTGCTGCCAGTCCTTCCACCTGCATTCCATGCATTTTTAATGAACTAATGCCTCATCACAACTTGGATGTTACTTCCTGTCCAATCTCCTCGGCCCATAGCCTCATGGACTCCACGGTATCTTAGTACTATATTTCAAGGGTCCTCAGCCTTGGGTGTTCATTAGCATTGTTGTTGTTGTGTGTTGTTATGTGCTGTTGAGTTGCCTGCAACTCATAGCAATCCTATGTACAACAGCTCCAAAGCCTGCCCTATTATGAGCCAGTCTCACTGACTCTGACACACCTCCTCCCATGGCCCCAGTTGTTGTATCAATTCATCCACCCATGGTCTTCCTGTCCTGTAATGTCCCTCCACTCTTCTGCGCATGATTTCCTTCTCTAAGGACTGGTCCCAAAGTATGTGAAATGGAGCTTCAAAATCCTAACCTCCAAGGAAAAACAGTTTCACCCTCTCCAAGAAAGATCTATTTGTTTTCTTGGTGGTCCATGTGTGTTCAAGACTCTTCTCTGGCACTACAACTCAAAGGAATCAATTCTTCTGTCATCCTTAATCACTGTCGAGTTCTCTGATTCCTAGCAAGTAAGTGCAAGGACAGTGGCCTGGGTCAGGGGCTCCTTAGTCTCTAGCCTGACACTGCTACTTCTCAGTACTCTGGAGAGGTCTCTGACAGCAGATTTTCCCAGTACAATTCCTCTTTTGATTATTTGTCTGCTGGTGCCAAGAATGTTGAGTGTGGAGCCAAACAAGCAGTAGTTATTAACGACCTCAGTCTCTTCCCATCTATCATGTTGCTGCCATTTGGCCCAGTGGTGAGAATCTTTTTCTTCTTGATCCTGAGCTTCAATCTATTGAAGGACTGTTCCTTGACCTTCTGTATGCAGCAAACACTTCAGGTCCCCTCAGTTTCATTAGCATTATGTGACAATTTTTCTTAATAACACATGCAAAACTCCTTTCATCAAACATTACTCTATCTTTAAAAAAGTTAGACTTATCTTTTAAATATTCACTTAAGTGGAAACTCTGTTAAACAGTGACTGAATCTGTGTGTTCACCATTCAAGACCCAACACCTTGAAAAATGTGTACCTGTGCTATTATAATACCCTATTATCATTACAGCTGAAGCTAGTGAAATGATCAGAGAGAAAAGATACCAATGAGATAAATGTTCTTAAATGCTGTTGAGTCAAGCACAACTCATAAAAGATCTGAACCCTGTTCTTTAACTATGATCATTTCTCTAATGTTCAATAATATCCAATGGCACATTGTTTAAGAAGTGTTTAAAGCTTCTTAAAAGCAATTAAAGAATTGTTTCCTAGCCTGTCTTCACGTGAGAGCTCTAACAAACACTGTGGACCATACATAACCATTATGGAATTTGACACACCAATGGCACAGTGTTCAGTATCACAGCAACCCAAGATATCTCAGTATAACAAACTGACAGACTAATATTGTATCACTTAGAAGAATGTTCTTCCCAAACACAATTAACAGGGACTGACTTTTAAATACAAAGTCCCACCCACCAGGTCCTGATTGACTTAAACAAGAGGCTACCAGGCCACAGTTGATTGTGATCTAAATTCAGTAAATCCTGTCAGCTCACACATGGTTGTAAACAAAATTTAAAAATAAATAAATAAAATAAAACCGTTTCCACCCAACTTTTAACTAAAACAAGAGAACCTACCCTGTATAATCCAGCTGCTTCCCACATGAGCCTCCAATGAGGTAAGGAAGGCAAAAATTCATGTTAAAAGTAAAGGTCAAGCAAGGTAGCTAAAACCAGGTTAAACTCATGTTAGGTGTTGATAGAGGACAAAGAACGGAAGAAGGGGTTAAGACCAGACCCTACTCACCCCAAACCAGGAAACAGAAAACATTGAAACTAAATGCCTGACAATTCTAATATGTTAGTAAAGACTGCCCCAGAATTAGTCTTTAATACAACCTAACTAGTGTTTTAGGAGCTCTAGAGACCTGTCATGCAACTAGTGACATCAAGAATAATAGACCGGAGTAAGAACTGCCCACCAAATGTATACCTTCCTGTGACATCATCCATTAGTCCAAACCAAAGATTCAAGCCCTAAACATTGCCCAAACAAGGGAACAAGCCAGCCATATTAACCCATGATCCTAGTGACACAGTCTTCTCCATTACTTTCCTTGCATTTGACGGTAACTCATTCCTCTCTCTGCAATGTACTTTAAACCCCTCATAGCCTATGGTCTTTTACACTCCTCCCTTTCAAAAAAGGGTGAACCTTTTCTCTCTCTGGAATTTATCTTTGCTAGTAAAACTGCTTCTACTTTCAGCTTTGTTCCTGTCTTTCCTCTTGGGAAGCCAGATGCCCTGTTGAGTCTGCATGCTCTACCAAGGGTTTATCTAAGCTAGGCCTATACTGAGCAAGACAGACAATGGCTCTTTTAATGATCTCCATGCGTGCTGTACACTAGAAACTGTTGTTGTAGTTGTTGTTGTGTATGGTACAGTTAGAATTGACCCATAGCTGACCCTCCAGAGGGTTTTCAGAGACAGCTAATCACAGGGAGGAGATTGCTCATCCTTCTAACAGAGCAACTGGTGCCCTTGAACCACATGTCTTCTGGAATGCAGCACAGATTTTTGCTACTAGGCCATCTGATACGTTGAAATTGTTGTACACTGTTGTATTTCTATGGCTCAGACAGGATCCCCTCTTTAGCTGAGTGAGGTAGACAGAAGTCAAGATATCAACCCCATAGTAACAATACCTTTGCTAACATTTGTTGATAATTTGCTTTATGCCAGACACAGTGATAAATAATTTTAGCGAATTCTGCCAGCCACCCAATGAAGAAAAAAATTATTATCCTACTTAAAAGAAAAGGAAACTGAGGATTAGAGAGTGGCTTGAAAAATATTTACTAAATGCATCAACAAGTAGTGTCATTGTGAGTAGTGTCACAGTACAGTTGACCCTTGAACAATGCAGGAGTTAGGGGCACCAACCTTCCACACAGTCAAAAGTCCACAAGTAATTGACAGTTGATTCTAAAAACTTCAGCTTAAACTGCACAGGTCCTCTTACACTTGATTTTCTTGTCTGTTGCTGTTATGATTAACTTGTGTGTTGAGTATCTACTTGAAACACTATATACTGAGCAACAATTTTGAAAATTACTACATAACATGGGAGAGATTGGAGAGCATTATGCTGAGTGAACTAACTCAATCTCGGAAGGACTAATACTGCGTAAGACTGTTATTGTAGAAATAGAAAGATAATTAGTAAAATGTGTAAGGATCCAAGAGGGGTAAAGTAAGAGCAGAGAGGTGAGAATGGACAGGGGGAAATCATATGGTTGTATAATTTAGTGGGTGGAGGGCGGGGTGGGTAAAGGAATTGGGAAAGATCCAGCTGGGATCTGAAAAGACAGGGTAAAGGTGGGAACAGTTCAATGATGATTAATTTTATAAAACATACTGAATGGGAATGATTGTATGAAACACAATGTATAACAACTTTGTAAGCAAACCAATATAAAATATTTTTTTAAATAAAGTACACAGGATAGATAGATTTATAGTGTTAAGTTAAACCAATTATATAAATCAACTGAAGTTTATTTAATACACTATTTGTAAACTAGACCAGTGTTTCTGAGTAAAGAATAAATATGTTGCTGTTGTTATTGTTGTTAAGTGCCATTGAGTCGACCCTATGAATGAAAGAACTGAACACTTGTATAACTTTCTTCATTTCTCCAAGCTCATAGAGTTTCCAGAGGCAAGCTATTTGGGAAGTGGATGCCACTCCTCCTTCCAAGCTTGTTTTAATCTGGGAGCTCCACCAAACTCTGTCTGCCATGGGTAACCATTATTGCATTTGACACATCAGTGTTACAATATTTAGCATCACAGCAACCACGAGTTTTTTCAAAGAAGAAATAGATTCCAAAGATGGGAGTCAGGGAACCAAAACACCCCGTTATATACTATGTCCATGTAGACCCACATACTTTAGAACCATGTTATTTAAGGATCCACTGTATTTTCAATTAAAATGCTTTTGGCTGCAAGTAAGAGAATTAAAATTTTTTAAAGAGTAAGACTTAGTTTTGGGGTTTTTTTCATATAATCCCAAAGTTAGATTAGCCATTTATCAACATTTCAAGCACTCAAGTAATTGCTACCTTTTTCTGTTCTACCATCTCTGCACCCTCCTGCCAAGGTTACGGCCCCAAGCCTCATTTCACCTAACATGACTTCTGAAAGTAGGCAGGAAAGGGAAGACTCTCTCGTGCCTGTGTTTTTCTCTCTTTTCACATAGGAAATATTCCCCAGAACTCACCAAGCAGACATTTTTCTTCGAAGAAGTAGGTCACTTCATCACTGATAGCTCAAAATACATCTGGGAAAGCAATTAATGGGCATGACATGTCCAGCTCTGCCTTAGGAAGTGGGCTTCTCCAAGACAGAAGATGAGAAAGAAGTGGTTGATGTTTTGACAACCAAAATTGCCAGACCAATATGTTTTTATTTTCAAAATTTTATTATTAATTAATCTAAGCTAGATGGCCTAGTGGTAAAGAGTTGTGCTGCCAACTTGAAGGTACATTGTTGCTCTGTGGGAGAAAGATAGGTAATCTCCTCCTGTTTGATTCACAGCTACTTAAAACCTGCTGGAGGGTCAGTGTGAGTTGGTTCCGACTCAATGGCACACAACAAAAACTGTGGATTCCCCTTCAGAATAGTCATTGAAGAAAGGAGTATACACATGTTAGAAATCTAAATAATGACACCATTGACAGCTGAAAGTTTGGGTGACAAGGGACATTCAACAGTGATGATTTTCTCCTCTTCTGTTTTCAGGTCAACAGTGATCTTGTTTACATTACAGCCAAAAAAGATGGTACTCATGTTGTTGAAGCCGTGGATTCCACCCATACTGGGAAATTAATTGTGACCAAGCAAATTGGAGGAGATGACATACAAGATATTACTGAAACTTATAAATTCCAAGAAGGTAATTTACTACAACTGAAGGATAATTTCTTTTCCCAAATCCCTTCCTCTATTTCATTCCATATACATTCACTGTCACCACACAGGGTGTTCCAAAAAGTTTACCAGAATTTGTAGCATTTGATAGTAAGAAGTGTAAGCAATCAGATAAGAAGTATAAATAATAGTGAGTTAAAGATACATAATACCTATAATTTTTTTCAGTGTGGTTTTGCTTGTTTACTGGTTTTGCACAAAATACCGTACTTATGGAATTGTAAATGGGTTCAGTTTGAAGTCATGTCTATTATAACAGGATACAGAATATGCTCTTACACACAAAACTATGACTATGCTTCACATTCTAAAATAATCTTATTAGAAAATACAGAATAATTAATATAATTCTAGTTCAGTAATGTTGTCGATTGTCGTCAAGCCGAGCTGAGCATGACTCATAGTGATCCTATGAACAAAAGACCTGAAGCCTTTCTATAACTATCATTATTTCTCAAAGTTCATAGAGTTTCCAGAGGTATGTTGATTTGTTTAGAATTTTATACATGTATTGTTCCATTGAATTCTTATGGACGCTCCATGGGGTTGATAATACAGTACTGGTGGTACAGTGGAAGAAAGGTCTGGTGATCTATTTCCAAACAAGAGCCAGTGAAAATCCTGTAGATCACAAGGCTTCATTGATCAATCCATCTCTGACTATGAGGAGCATGCAGGATCAGGCATCATTATGTTCTGTTGTACATGCATCAAGACAATTCTACAGCAGCTAACAGCAACAATAATAATAATAGTATGTAATCTCATGCATCAATGAGGTAAAATGTCAATTTTTGTCAAAATAATGTTTATGTGACTTTGTTCATAGTTATTGTATAGAATGTGTCAAATGGAAATGTTTCATTCAATTCTATTTCAATTGATACTGTGTTGATCTGTGATGGGAGTTGTGTTTGGAGTTAAGAATTGTAGCAGGGAGCAGCACCCACAGGGGGGCTTTGGGTCAAGAGTAATGGGATACTCAGCCCAGCCCAGGGCTTCAGAGAAAATCAAGCCCAGAGAAAGAAATCATGGCTTACTGTTAAAGAAAGGAAAGCTGGGTTCTCTAGGTAGTGACGGCACAGAATTGAAACAGCCTCCAGTACAGGCCTTCCAAACATCAAGTTCAGAGGTACCCTATAGTCTCAGACAAAGTTGCCCAAGGTCAGTCATGCCAGGGAGTAGAGGACCTTGCACATCTTGACAGAGATCAGGGAATATATTTTGTAAGTCAGCAGAGGTTCTTAGGACAGATATTTAGTGAATGGATAAAAACGACTAATTTATTTAGCATACAGCTAAATATTCATCAGCATTCTTGACATGCTTGTTTTAAATATTTCAAATAGTCTTATTTACAAAAGTAATTTGCACTATAAAGAATTGAGAACCCTTGTGCATAGTATTAGAAATTCAAAATTTCTGTCATCTGAGCTAGTGAAGTTTTACTACAGTTCTGATGTAATTTCTTCTTCCCTTCTGTTAGTGATCATTCACTGCACATCACACATATAAAGGGTACTATATTTTTATGTCACTCTTCTCATTTTTTTTCTGAAAAGGAAAGTTAAAAATAATATAAGTACAGTGAAAGAAAATAAACAATGCCCTCTCAGAATACAGTAACAGGCAAAATGTTTGCAATAGGAAAAAACAAACCAACCAACTAACACTGTATATAAAAAAAACCCAACCACAAATAAACAAAAATCCCAGGAAGACACTAGTTTTAGCATTCACTTATGTATTTATTAAAAATTTACTATTAAATACCTACTGTGTTCCAAGACATTGGGAGCCTTGTTGGCATTGCGCATAATGACCAGTCTACTAACCTAAAGGTCAGTGGTGCAAATTAACCATGTGTTCTGTGGGAAACAAACAGTCTCCTCCCACAATAAATTACAGCATCAGATTTCCAATGACGGCTGCTATAAGTCAGAACTGACTAGGTAACAGTGGGGTTTTGGTTTTATGTTCCAAAAAGGTCTCTGGGTGGTACAGTTTGTATTTCACTACTAATAAAAGATTAGTGGTTTGAACCAATTTAGCAGCACCATGAAAAAAGTCTAGGAAACCTGCTTTCAAAATGTCATAGCCAAGGAAAACCAAGTAGAGCTCAGTTTTATTTTCACTTGGAGTCACCATTGGTCATAATTGATAGCAGGTTTGATTTGTTTTTTTGTTTGTTTTTATTGCAAGAGGAATTCTTGGGTGGGAAAAACAATTAAACAATCTAATTACCAGCTGAAGGAGCTCTAATAGCATAGTATGTTAGATGCTGGACTACTAATCAAAAAGTAAGTTGTTTTAGTCTATCAGCCGCTCTTCAGAAGAAAGATAATCAATCTCCACCCATAAATATTGACAGCCTTGGAAAACTGATGAAGTGTTTCTGTGAGTTGGAACTGACTCAATGGCAGTGAGTTTAGTTGTTTTTATATTATTACTAACTGGAAAGTCAACATTTTCCACTCCCCCAGCGATTCCTTGAAAGAGAGATCTGGAGGTCTAGTTCCTGAAGGTCATAACATTGAAAGCTCGGTGGAGCCGAGTTCTACATTGTAATATACGGGGTCCTCATGGTTTGAAATCAATTTTATGGCAGCATACAAATTATTCTGTTATAATTCAACCAACTAATTCTGTTGTAGTCCAGTCAGGGCAGGAATCTGAATGGGCAAATGGTTAATACTTTCTTACAGTAGTTAATCAAGTTTGAAGGACAAGAAGAACTTCAAAATTTCTGTTGATGTACTTCTAAAAATGAGTAATTAAAAACCCTATGGGGCCCAGTTCCACTCTGATGCACGTAGGGTTGTCATGAGTTGGTGTCAACTAGTAACTCATATCAAGAGCTACTTAGGGTCAGAAGATCCTCATAGTATCCCCCCCCCTTATCTAGATGGAGGGACAACCAGCTAAGCAAGCAATGGCTATTATGACAGAGGCATACAGATGCTACAGGAACATACAAAAAAGAAAAACAAGAAGAAGAAAGGAAGGACATTATGTTGAGTGAAATATCTCAGTCATGGAAGATGAAATACTTCATAAAACCACTATTATAAAAATAAGATTAACTTGGAGTGGAGGTTGAGGAGAGATAATAAGAAAAGAATGGACATATAACAAACAATTCAGTGGAATAGGTGAAGACAAGGAATAGCTAAAAGGAATAGGTGATTAGCTATAGCAAACAAGTAATTGATGCATAAAAAGTATGAAGTTGTATTGTCTGTCTCCCAATGATAAACGCCCATGACTTTGCAAAAATAAATAATCAGAAAGGGAAAAAAAAAGAAGTAATTGCAAAGACTATCGCCTGGATCGGCCACACCTTAGTCTCCAAACTGATATTATTGCTCTTCAGTACTCTGGAGAGGTCGCAAACAGCAGACTTTCCCAATGCAAGTAATCTCTTAATTTCCTGGTTGCTGGTACTGAGAGAGTTGATTGTGGAGCCAAGAAAACTGAAGCTCTTAACATTCTCAGTCACTTCACCATCTATCACGATGCTGCCAATCAGTCCAGTTGTGAGAATCTTTGCTTTCTTAATGTTGAATTTCAATCTATATTTAAGGATGTAGTCCTTGACTTTCTACAGAAAGTGCTTCAGGTCCTCCTCAATTTCAGGAAGCAGGGTTGTGTCATATGCCTAGCACAGATAGATTGTTGAGATTCTTCCTTCAATCCTGATGCCACATTCCTCCTCATAGAGCCCAGCATCTCAGGTAATCTGTTCTGAATATAGATTGAATAGGTATGGAGATAGGACACATCCTTGGTTGGTGTACACCCTTCCTAATTTTAAACCATGAAATGTTTCTTTGCTCTGTTCTGATGACTGCCTCCTGATCTGAGTATAGGTTTTGCATAAATACAATCAAATGTTCTGGGATTCCCATTATTCTCAGAGTTAGTCACAGTTTGTTATGATCCACACAGTTGAATAAATGCCTTGGCATAGTCAATGAAACACAAATAGACATTCTTCTGGTATTCTCTGCTTTCAGCCAAGATCCATATAACATTAGCTATCATATCTCTAATACCACAGCCTCATCTAAGCTCAGCCTGCACTTCTGGTAGTTCTCTGCTGATGTGCAGTTCTAGTCCTTTTTCTGATCATTTTCAGCAGAATATTGCTTGCATGTGATATTAATGATATCGCTCTAGAATTTCCACACTCTGTCAGGTCACCTTTCTTGGGAATGGGAACAAATACTGATCTCTTCCAGTCAGGTTGTCCCCTAGGTTTTTTGGCACAACTTGGTGAGTACATCCTGGGCAGTGTCCGTTTATTGAAATATGTCAGGTGGTCTGTCATCAATTCCTGGGGCCTTGTTTTTTTTCCAATTCTTTAAGAACAGCTTGAACTTCTTCCTTCATCACCATAGGCTCTTGCTCATATGTTGTTTCATGAAATTCTTCTGTGTCTGCCAATTCCTTTTGGTACAATGACTCTGTATACTCTTTCCATTTTCTTTTAATGCTTCATGGATCATTCAATATTCTGCCCAAAACATCATTAAATATTGTACCTTAAGGCTTTAATTTGTTCTTCAGTTCCTTCAGCTTAAGAAATACCAGGCAAGTTTGGCCCTTTTGATTTTCTGACTCTAGCTCTTCGCACATTTCATTATAATATTTTACTTTGTCTTCCTGAGCTGCCTTCTGAAATTTTCTGTTCAGCTCCTTAATGTCTTGTTTCCTTCCCTTTGTTTTGGCTTCTCGGTGCTCTAGTGCGGTATTCAGAGTTTTGTCTAACATCCATCTTGGTCTTTTCTTTCTCCCCTGTCTTTGTGATAACCTTCTGCATTCTTTATGGATAATTTTTTTTTATGTTCTCCCACAGCTCAGTTGGTCTTCATTCATTAGCGTCAAGGCCTCTTACCTGTTCCTGTGATGGTTTTTAAATTTGAGAGAGATAGACTCAAGGTCAAATTTTGGGTTCTGTGGATT